TTTTGTTGTAATGTGGATTTTTTTTTTTAAATATTATGCTTTATTTTCCATAATTTTACTACATAAGTTTCTGTTCTGACGACCGTCTTCAGGTAAAGGGTGGAGATTTACACATATTATTAAAAATAATTAATTTTTTTTCCTTTATGTTTTTCATTATTAAATATTCTCGATATGAGACATTCTCTGTTTTTGTGTTAGTAATCTGAATGTCTTTCTTGAACTGGCAGTGAAGAGTTCTGTGCAAAGGGTCATAAAACAATTAAGGTTGGTCTGAGAGAAATGATGAATTAGTTATCGGTATCTTATCTTTTAATGTTTTAATGACCCCTGTGTGTTCTTAGATCTATTTCCATTTTCGTGTGTTTCTGTCAGTATGCATGTATATATGTGTATATTCCCGATATATAATGATAATAAGACGACGGAGATTTTAATTATCCATTTCGTTTATAATTTTTATTTCGTAGATTTTTCCTACTGATGAGTTGAACATCTCGGTGTTTACAAAATAAGAATTGTAAACGAAATGGATAATTAAAGTCTCCGTCTTCTTCTTATAATTATAATGCTCTGTTGTCTACATTGAGCTCTCCCTGGATTTATATCCTCCTCGAAATTATCCCTTCCAATCACAAACTGGTAAAACGTGTATATATATATATATATATATATATATATATATATATATATATATATATATATATATATATATATATATATATATATATATGCGAAGCTCTTCAGTAAAATGGCTGCTTGGTATTTGTTTACATTTGTAAAAACAAGACGCTAGTTTTCGCCGATTAGTTCTGTCGATTGAAGATGGCTCAGTGGTAGACGCTCTGACTGACACCATGTCAGTTGGGTTTCGCTTCGGGCATTCGGTTGTCTTGTCTCACTGAGGAGCTGCGAAACAGTACTGTCTGCGAATTATATATATATATATATATACATACACACACACAGGATATCCATAAAGTCCGTGTGCACTTTAAAAGAATTATAAGTTTGTATTTTCGATGGAAGTAATTTGTCAAAAGGATTAGAAAGAAGTAAATCTATATTTTTTAAAGGTTTTATTGAAATTTTATTTAAGTTTCCACATGTCCTCCATCATTAGCAATACAAAGGGTAATACGATTTTGCAGTTCACGGAAATCATTTGCCAAATGATTTACAGTAATGCCTGAAATCACATTAGTTATTTTAGCTATACTTAAAGCTAGGTACTTTAAACTTTATAACATCCTTTACAGATTATTTCTATCGCAAATACAAATAAGGTTATAATTTTTTACATTGCACACGAACTTTATGGACACTTTGTATATAGTGATTACACACTTATATATATGAGAAAAGTTTTAAAAGGTTGTCTGTTAAAGAACGGGAATCCCTCCTCTTTAAAAGAAAAAAAAATTAAGCAACAACAAAAAAGATACTAATGGTACACTGGCGCAATCTGATTCTCCTCCTCCTCAAAATACTGTTATTGTGAACTGTATTCAGGGTTAAGCAACTGACCTGAGACAGATACCCTATTATCTGTAAACCCACATTCAAACAGTCACACAGACAAGCGGACTGACTGATCGACAAACTTTTAAAACATTTGGCTATCGAGAGATTCCACTGTTTATTGTTACAACTTGTCTACTTTTGTGAACACCCCCCTTTCACCTCCCACCCTCACGCACATGCGCAGATAGAGCGTTAAAGGAAACAATTATAGTGAGATGGTTCCATATGCTTTCAGGACGTGGATGATTATGACTCTCCACACTTTCCTGTCTTTTGTTTCCTTTCGTATTCCAAGAGCAAGTTCTGCTCCGACACCTCCTTCTCAGGGGCTGCTGCATTGTGGAAAGGATGCTTCCCTGAATCACCACAATTTTAATCTCTTCAAATCTGGGGTGGATTAATCGTTATCTTTCTCACAGAAGCTCACTTCATGCTTTTAGTTACGATCATACGTCAATATACAGTAGCCCTTGAGAATGGTTTAAAATGAACATTAGTGAATAAATATCTGTCTATATTTCTGAGATGAGGTATTATGTACACTATTTACATTATTCGGACTATTGTCCTCATCTTTGTCGCCATATTTATTACAACGAAGTCTCCATGAATAATGGCAAAAGCAGACACATGAGAAAACCTATTTTCCTGAAATAATTGTTATAAGGGAAAGATTTTACAAATACGGACGTAATAGAGATGTTTACATTCCACACTACTTCAAACAAAAGGTTAGCAAGGAAACTACCATCAATAGTGGAAAGAGAAATAACAGAGGATTGAAGGAAATAATTTTGTCCGTCAAATGTATTTGCCACACAAGAGGATACATATATATGAACGGATAAAGATAGATAGATAGATAGATAGATAGATAGATAGATAGATAGATAGAGAGAGAGAGATACTGAATAGACTTAGATAGATAGATAGATAGATAGATAGATAGATAGATTCTGAATAGAATGAGATAGATAGACACTGAATATAGATAGATAGATAGATTGATAGATAGATAATGAACAGAATAGATAGATGATAGATAGATAGACACTGAATATGAGATAGATAGACACTGAAGATAGATAGATAGATAGATAGATAATGAACAGAGTGAGATAGATAGATAGATAGATAGATAGATAGATAGATAGATAGATAGATAGATAGATAGATAGATGGGTGTGTCTGTGTGTATTGTCGTGTGAGTATAACTATCTGAGTAAAATTAATCACGGAAAATTGGGCAGATAATTTATCTGTGTTCTTTTGATGTTTATGCGTGTCTATTCAGGTTTCTTGAAGAAACGAGAAAGAAAAAAAATCACTTCACTTCGTCTTGATGCATAAAAAAATATGTACATGTCTGTTAACAAGACTTTGTCCTGTATGTAGAATTTGAAACTCACACTTCGTTCGATTTGACATTCCTTAAGTCGTCTGGCATTCTCAAATTGTCTGGAGTAGAGCTTAACTGAATGACCTATGTGGAAACTGATTATATTAACTCGTTTTTTTCTTCTTAAAAAATAATCTATCTATCTATAAAATTCTGTGACATCCCACCCTAAAATAGCTGTACCTGAATCTGTATTCACCCGAGGTGGGTTGAGCCGGCTTCAATATTAGAGTTTCATGGGGATTTGGAATTCACTAGCGGTCCCCAAACCCGCATGGATAGCACATGAGATTTGATTATAGTGATGAAGGTTTCGTGCAGGACCATCCACACTTTTTGAAGGGCCGATTACAGAGACCTGGTGCCACAAGGTCCCCAAACGACCCTCCGCAGGTTTTGAATTTAGAGTTTTCCTTCTCCTAGACCAGTTGCCATTTATAGAACCCAGTCTGTCCTTCTATTTACCCATAGCTGGGGGGAGAAGAAGGGGATTTATACGTTTCCCAAGGGTATTAGCACGTAAGTGAATGTAACGGATTCGACTGGAATTCGAACTCGGCTCTCCGATTCCTTAATCCAAGCCGCTATCCATTACTCCACCGTGCCTCCTAAAATAGCTGTACATTGGCCGATCGAAACCAAATTTTGTGGAGATGTACGAACAGGTAAGGGGGTACAAATTACAGTTGATTTTACTAGGGTGCTTAGATTAGTACAAGTTATCATTAATTTTTTTGGAAAAAATAAAAGTTTAATATTTAACATACAAAATCCTTCCACTGTTTGAAAAAACAAATTCATAATTAAAATAACAAATACTTATTTAATAAAAATGCAATATTTTGGGCATATTTTTTCTTTAAATTTTTATAGATAGAAAAATCCAGTTTTCTGTTCGCCCTATATTTGGGAGATCTATAAACAAACCACAAGGCCAAACACTTCAAAATTTGAAATTTGGCTCTAGAAAGAAATATTTACGCATGGCCAGCTGTATGTTGCATGCTCAAGAGTAAGAAATCCTAAAAACAATTATTCTGCGCTGTTAAAAAAGAAAAAAAATCTTAAAAAATATTGTTTACTATAAAATTAAATTAAATAAATTATTAAACCACGGAATAGGGTTTTTGTCAAAGTATTTTCCAAACAAATCAAATTATTCAAATTTCATCGATTGGTTTGCGAAATTGAACGAAATATAGAGTTTGTAAATCTCGACAAAAAAATGATAGCGATAAGAGTAGTAGGTCGTAAAAGAAAAAGAAGACATTGCTTCAAAAGATTTTCTTTGCTTTTCGGATGTTTTGTACAATTCAAGTGTCATTGCGAAGAATGTATGATTTGTGTCCTTGAGAAGATTCTGAACTTTCCCAAACTATCATAGAAGCTTGCGCACACCAAGGATAATTGTAAATATTTTAACAATTTAATCGTTGCTTGGCACAAGGCCACAATAGTAGAGGATCAAGTGAATTTTTAAATCATGAAAACAATGAATGATCTTTTCGTTTGGTTTGGTTTGGTTTGGTTTAAGGCATATCAAAGCTTGTCAGGTTATTTAATGCCGAAATCTGTTGTTTTGATAAGCAACAGAAAGGCAATAGGAGAGTCAAATAGTTAGGACATGGGCTTGGTTTGCCGGAAAGTGAAAAAGTTAGACATAGGTCTGGTTTGCACGGAAGATAAATGGTAGACATAGGTCTACTTTGCATGGGGGTCAAAAAGGCATACATAGGTTTGTTTTGCATGAGAGCTAAAAAAAAACAAACAAAAAAAAACAGGCATGGATCTGGTTTGTGCGAGTGTAAAAAAGGTTTGGTTTATATGAGAGTCAAAACTCATCGCTTTTTAAAACAATAATCATTGCCAAGGAGTGAAGGTAGTTAAATAAAGTCCTTTTGGCACTCCATTTTTTTTCGGGAATGAAGGTCATTGTTTTTGCAAAAGGTCATTAATGCAAATAATAACTACCCCCAATATTTACTGTTCCTTTCTGTCGGGACGACGCACTGAAAGTGAACGAAAATACTGCGAAATCCGAATGACGCCTCTCCATTTTGAAGTGTAGCCGACATTGATGTTCATAGGTACTCTTTTATTACAACCTTTGACTTTTCTTTTTTTTCTCTCCAGGATCATCTCTGTCGGGGGCGACGGCATGTACTCCGAAGTGATGAACGGTCTGGTATTAAGAACTCAAAAGGACGCTGGAGTTGATCACAACACTCCCGAGGCCCGCATGCAACCATGCGATATACCAATTGGAATCATACCTGCAGGTAAAGCGTCCCCATTTTTGGCCTTGATCGTTATTTTTTAAATAAAACCTCTCTCTCTCTCTCTCTCACACACACACACAGCACACATATATATATATATATATATATATATATATATATATATATATATATATATATATATATATATATATATAAAACATAAAACATTAGGCAGCATATAATTTACATACAAAAAATAGAATCAATCAATTAAAATCTTGATGTCTGTCTGTAGTTTTCAGTTTATTTGTCTGATGTTAAAAATGCTAGTAATTACGAATAGTCCTCTATTCATCATCAGGCATGTGTTTTTTTTTTTTCTTATAAAATCAAAAACTTGGAGACGAATTACTTGTATGTCGACCGAAAGATGTTTTTTTGAATATCTGCTATTATTGACGGTTGTGTAAGATCTCGGAACGTGCAAAGACGCAACGCTAAGTTTTTCAAAATTTTAAGTGAGAATTTTATTTAAATATTTCTTGTGATGTGTTAAATCCACGTATTCTATTCAAGTTTATCGACGAGGATCACTTCGCACTATGGATTAACAGTATTTTAATGCATATATTATGTTTCTAGCGATGGATGTCGCCAATAATCGCATTAATACTTCTGATTGATTCTATGTGTGATTATTTCTTTGTATATATATATATATATATATATATATATATATATATATATACCCTGTGTCATACTAGACAATTTTTTCTTACTAGAATCTTACATATTTATAAGTCTACCATTCGTCCCTGCTTTGAATACTGCTGCCACAGTGCCCTGGTTCTCCTGCTATATCTTTAGAATTTCTTAATAAAATCCCAAGAAGAATTTGCAATGTTGTTGGTTCTGACCTGGCATCTCGCCTTCAGTCACTTTCCCACGGCCGTAGCGTAGACTTTCCGGTGGGTAACCAACACAAGACTGACCACAATGTTGACATAATAAATGATACTCTGAACAAAAGGAAAAACAATTCACTACGACGTAAATGTCTAGAGCAGGGGTTTTCAAACTGTGGTCCATGGACAGCAAAGATTTTTTTATGGGTGACGTGCAACGTATAATGAACTGGAAGAACTGGCTGAAATTTCATGCGACGGAACTTTAAAAATCAGTTTTATGAAGCAACAACTTTCGAAATTCTAGCTCACTGTAGCCTCCGAGCAGCCATTGTTATCTCGAAAGGCAGTTAAGATTTTGTTACCGTTTGCAACAACATATTTATGCGAAGAAGGATTTTCGGCACTAACCAATCTGAAAGACAAATACAGATCCAGACTTGCTCCAGAAAGTGATTTACGTTTACGTTTATCAGAAATGTCGCCAAGAATTGACAGTTTGTGCAATTCCAAGCAAACACATTCTTCTCACTAAGTGTGTATTAAAAAAATCCTGTGTGTGTAATTGACAATAAAACTATTTGTTAAGTACTATTACTGTTTTCATTTACATGTAAAATTAATATTTTAATATAACAAAATTTAATTTTGTTACATTTTGTATCAACATGCAGCATTAATTTATTTGAACACTTATGTCTAAAGTAAGCTTTAAATCAGCTTTTATTGCATTAATGCAAAATTATTTGTTATATTCAGCAAATATTTATGTATAAATTTCATAAGCGTTTATAAGGGGGTACCTAAGGTAAAGCCTGAAATATAAAGGGGTCCGCAAGTCAAAAAGTTTGAAAACACCTGGTCTAGAGAATGCCTTGATGGCAATGTCATCTATGTAAATTTGCGCCTTGGATCTTACAGCATTTCACCATTCCTAGCAGAACTTCTATTATCAGAGTGTGGGGTACCTACTAACAAAAGCGAGGGAAAGAAAAAGAAAAAGAAAAAAAATCTAAATGAATTTCAGCTGGGTATTGAAACAAATCTAAAATCCCCAGCATCCCCTGTTCGTGCGCATGCGTAGTCGAACCACCATAACAAATTTAGACCAATGAAGGTCTGAAGGTTGAAACGCGTCACAAGTAAACTTTTTCCACGTTGTCATACAATTTCCCATATATATATATATATATATATATATAGTCGACTCTCCCGTCGAATTCGACGTATGAGGGTCAAAATGAATCAGTTTCCAGGAAACCGACAGCCCGACACCGGCACATGAGATTTGATTATACTGGTGAAGGTTCCGTGCAGGACCATCCACACTATTTGAAGTGACGAATACAGACCTGATGCACTACGTGCCACAAGGTCCCCAAACGACCCTCCTTTTGAATTCAGAGTTGTCCTTCTCTAGACCAGTTGCCATCTAAGGCTATAGAACCCAGTCTGTCCTGTAAATTCAATATATATATATATATATATATATATATATATATATATATATATATATATATATATATAAAACAGGTTTGGTTAAATAACATAACATGTCGATTTATTTTAGTTTAGATCCTTCCAAGTTCACGGAATAATTTCTTGGTAACCTTAGAAAATTGATTAAGAAAAATACCAAAATTTTATTTTAAATATTTTTATTTCATTTTCCTAAATAGTTTCAATCTCATCTCAGACCATCTTCAGGGGCTTAAATTGTCTGTGAATGTGTAGATGTATTTCTGTAAATTCAAAACATTTCACTTGTTCGTATAACTGCGTTGTAAAAAACAAAACAAAAAATCACTGAATTTTGAATTTGAAATCTAGAGCGCTGCATAACTCAATAAAACGAAAACCTGAAATATTTTGAAAAGAATATTTTGGTATTTTTCTTAATCAATTTTCTAAGGCTACCAAGAAATTAATCCGTGACCCTGAAAGGATCACAACCAAAATAAATCGACATATGTTTAACCAAATCATTTTTAATGAACATATGCTACCTAAATACACACAAACACACACACATATATATATATATACATTTTTTTATGTTTATGCATTCTTTTTATAGATACAAATATTTAAGTGAATGTTCTGTTTATAATAAACAGTTTTAAACAACATTTACCGGCCTGAGTGTCCGAGTAATTTTCATAGAAAATATTTGTTCAGCGACAGGAATCGAACTTGTATCCTATAGGGAACCGTCATATAGCATGACGTGCCTTAACCGATTGAGCCACAGAGGATCGTTTGGTTAGCAAGGTCGAATTTACTGCCTTTAAACTACAATCTTCCATGATTCTCTCACGTACATTCATTTCTGCTCACGGCGAATCCAAATGGAAAGAAATGACGTCACACATTAGGAAATGGACATGGTCCGACAATTATTTTAAGACATTTTTATGTTTATACATTCTTTTTTATAGATACAAATATTTAAGTAAATGCTCTGTTTATAATAAACATTATTAAACAACATTTACCGGCCTGAATATATATATATATATATATATATATATATATATATATATATATATAGTTGTATATTTAGCAGCAATCCTTCCTTTATGCATGTTTCATTAAAACGACAGACAAGGTACTACGGTTGAGCTTTTTATTTAATTTTTCTTGTGTTCTGACAAGAGCTTTCTTTTCTGGACAAAGGGTGTGTAAGAACTGTCCGCACTACTACACACTGAACATACACAGAACGCACACACTCTACTAAGCTGATAATCGAATCATCCTTGATAATGGCTAAAGGTATAGCCGAAAGCGCTCGGAAATATAAAACATTCGGACAGTTCAAGAAAAAATTAAATAAAAAAAGAAAGCCTTGTCAGAACACAAGAAAAATTAAATAAAAGTAACCTTGTCTTTCGTTTTTAATGAAACATGCATATATATATATATATATATATATATATATATATATATATATATATATATAAAAAGAAAACACTAATATTCCATGGTCATCGGAATAAATTATGACCATGGAATATTAGTGTTTAAGCCTTTTTATTATATCCTTACTCTGTCCTAGACATTGAGTTCTACCTGGATCCTTCCTCTTGGAAAAATTTTTTTTCTGAAAATATACATGTATGGAAATTTTTTTTAGATATATATTTTTCATATGTATGTATATTTTCCATTATCTATTATATATATATATATATATATATATATATATATATATATACGCATGACACGCAAAACTCGCCATGGTCGATTTGTCAGGACTAATGTTATCGAACTGGAGAGGTTGACCCCAGCATGCAGCACCTTTGGAAAGTGCATAAAAAACTAAACCACAGGTTAACCCAAGCCTTGTGAGTGAAATTGTGTAGACTGTTCCCCCGGGTGCCGTCGATAGCTGTGCTAGCACGAAGTCACAGGTCATCGTGACCGAGGCTTTGAGCGTGCTGGCCTTGTTCAGATTGTTGCTCACGCTAGATAACACGCTCTCTCCCAGAAACTGTAACTAAGGTCTGCTCATCATAGTTGCAGTATAAACTGTGAAATACAGAACGCTGCACAACTATGGGTGTTGAAAAACAAAGATATGACTGAGCAAGCGCCTGCAATAGGAACTGGCTAGCCGCCCTAGTCGACGGGTAACCTCGACTACGAGTGGCCATTTATACTATATATACATGCCTATGTGTGCGTGATTCAGAACTTATCTCCCGACTCAGAGAGGTAACTCAGCATATGATTATTAGCATAAATCAATCGAATTTATTAACAGATCTTCCTATGTTAAAATACGTTAAATGAAAAGAAATATTTAAAATATATATATATATATATATATATATATATATATATATATATATTTGTTCTATCTGAAAGACGTTGTCACTATTTGGTTTATTTATATCCAGGTTCCGGTGATGTTCTCTGCATGTTCCTTTATGGTACCCGGGATCCAGAAACTTGTGCTTTACACATTATTAAAGGTAAAAATAAAATAATAATTTTCTTCTTTTATAAAAATTTAAGTCCTCTTTATATTGTCTGATCGCAATCTTATCAAATATTCATATTACGGTCATCGTGGACAAACTTATTATTAAACGGTATCAAATGCGTTAATAATATTTAAATAGTACTGAAAAACACGGTGAAATCATTCCACCTAAGAAATTTACATTATTTGTAACTGTATCTAGTTACAACCACTAAAATCACGATATCTAAGGTTTAAATTATTTTTTATAAATGTAAAATCTTTTTTGGAGCTTTCATTTTAGCTTTAATTGAAAGCTAAAGGATTAAATTTACTATTTTCAGTAAGTAAAATACTCTGGTGTATTTCAAACAAAAAATTATATTGATTGGAATCGATTTTAATTTTTTTTTTTTAAATAACTGATTAGCACACTTTTTGAGTGGTCTTTTATCGCAATGTAATTCCCTTCTTTGCAAGAATTTCTAAATAAATGTGTTTTTTTTTTTTTACTGGAAAAAATGGCGGTAAAATACCTCTAAGTAAAGCCCAACGCTGTCAAAACAAAACAAAATTTATACCAAAATTTCGAGAGCTAGAAAGGATTAAAAAATTTAATAAAATAATTTTCAAAAAATTCTTTGGTCTTTCCTCTTAATAATAACCTAAACATTTTGACGATAAACTTTGTTTACGTCAAGTTTGTGGCCTTTTTTTTCATAATGGTTTGCTATATTTTAGCGAAAAAGTAATAGATACCAATTTTAACGATGTTAATGAAGATAATGTTTTGAACAATATCACTAAGTCTTGGGAATTTTATCACGATCTTCGAAAAATCTGGGTTTGCAATTTTTTTTAAATTATTTTATCGTCTAACCGCCTGGGTTTTTGAGAGTTTTCAATTTTAAAAAATAGACACACATGGACCTTCGTGCACGAAAAAAAAACTTTGTTCCAAAAGAACGGTTATTCTATTGACACCGCCATTGTTTTAACTATGTTCACTCCCTCTGTTTACAAGATTATAAAAAATTATTCACAGTTTATAAAGATTTATTATTTGCCATTTTATACAGAAATAAATTTGAAAAAAAATCTCATTATTAAGGTTTTTTTTTTATTTCAAAATTATAAGAGAACTCCAACATCCATCTTACTAACTTACCTTACCATTTCTAAATGTCGGCATCTGGTTGATAGTTAAGTTGTTTAACATCTTTGCTAATTGCTGGGTACTTTTCCGTGTACTGCCTTCTAACTGATGATTTCTTCATCAAAGACCGATGAACGCCCCAGGGTCTGGATTCATCTTTCAACGACATTTCTTCACAAAGAAACTTTGCAAACCAATTTCAAATATATGATTCCTTAACCATAAACACCTTTTTTTCAGATGTCTCCATAGCGTTATCGCCTTGCTTGAACTACTATAACATTAATAGATGTGCGGGTGGTGTAATGTATAATGGCTCTGAATTGTTAATAGGAGAGCCGAGTTCCAATTCCCGTTGTGTTTGTTATATTCACTTACGCGCAAATATCCTTGGAAAAAGTATGAATCCACCCCCTCTCTACCGACTCCCCAACTATGGATTAATTAGTAAGACTTGTATCACTAAATCATTATTATCTCCAAAAATTCTTACAATATTTTCTGGTTTAAAGTAACCTGTAAAGGGTTGATAAACTGTAAAAAAACGAATCAATCAACATAACATTTAAGTAGTGTAAATGGATTTTCAATCTAGGGATTATTGGGATAAGAAATTTAATCTATGGTTTCTATGAAAATGACGTATGACGAATATTTCATTTGTTCCCGCCCTTTTCTTTTTTTTAGGTTTCCAACGATCAACGAATATTTATAGCGTTCATTATGGCCACAAATTGGCCTGTTACTGTGGATTGATACTTGGTTTTGGCTTCAGCGGTTATTTGATGCGTTCCTCCAACAAACACAGGTGGATAGGACCAGCGCGATATACAGGTGAGATAAACGCTTTGTGTGGTGCGTCTTGGCCGAAATATCGGCAGAGTGTTTTACCTTTCTCTCTAACAGTGGTAATTTGACCCTTAAGAAAAAAAAAAAAAAGCTTCTAAAGGCTAACTTCTACAGCTGACAGTGAACTGCCAGCGCCTTTATAAGCCCTGTTTTATTTCTTGAAAATTGGTTTAATAATCAACCATAAGATTATGGTTTGATGTAATTCCATGTTAATGATAATAATTTCCTTATAAGGCAGCATTCTGCATTCACTGACCGAGCAGCCACTGCTACACGAGTGACGGTTTTTTTTTCATTTCCTGGTGATCGGAATGGGATCAAAGTGCAGTAACTGTTATCCACATTTCTAATGTTAATGTTAATATTAACCGTTTCCTTATAAGGAAACATTCAGCATTCATTAACTGAGGAGTCGGTTCTAATATAGAGTTGAAATTTATAAAATCTTTTTCTTAAAAAAATTTTCAGGAAAATAAGTTTCTCAAGTGTGCTGTTATCACGGTTTTTTTTTTACAAATGGGAGTTTCCTTCCTAACCTTTTGTTCAAAGTAGTGTGGAACGTCAACATCATGATTATGTCATCATTTTTTTTCACGTTATTTGTGATGTCTAATTTAGTTGCGGCGGCTGTTGGAAGTCCTCAAGTGATGTGGTTTCTGTTATTTCATAATTCTTTTTGATTCTGTAGCGTCAGTCCACGAGGTTCGACGAAGGATGTTCCTCGCTAAGACCTACAGGCATCATTCGTATAGAGCTATTCTTAACCTCTAATCAGAGAAAGTGGTTGTATACAGCTGATAGTTTAGATATTTCTGAACACGTTTGATGCTATGCATGACATTCATATGAAAGTCTCGGTCTGACGCGGCTATTTAAGAACTTGATTCGAGTTTTGAGGTAAATGTTTTGGTTCTGTAGCAACTTGTGGTATTGGGCGAAACTACCGCTACCAATGACTATTCCTATCTTCATAGGCGGTTAATTAAGATGTTCAGTTTCATTATCTCTTATACTAAATTTATTATAACTGATCCACACACCGAGGTTTATGAACGACGAATGTATCTGCTGAAACGATGACACTCAATGTTGAAGCTTGGATAAGCATGGAATAATAATAATACAACACAAAATGTACGTAAACAAAATGTATTGAAACAAGGAAAAGGTACACAATATTTACAGTTAGTTTTGGTATATTCTTGGGAAGACTGTTCCTGTAGAATGGGTTGACTTAATCGCAGTCGGGCAGAGTCTCTCGATTGGATCTCTTCTTACTTCTTCCCCCGTCTTCCCGGTACCAACCCATATTTATATGGTCGGTCCTCCACTATGTAAATTAGGTGGATCGTACCACAACACTCAATGACGACGTCGTTTCGAATAAATGAAGGAAGAGAACACTTATTGGGATACCACTTCTCTTCGGCCGGTTTATAGTCATAATTTGATTGACGTCAAGAGTGCTCAGTTTTTTCAATTACGTCACCATGAAAGACGGTTATCTAGCAAGGCCGAATTTAATGTGGGGTTCCCGAGACCGTAGGTTCAGCCCCCAAAATATCTGTAGACCCCGCATAAACGGGAACGGGTCTGTCTACCTCCCCGAACGAGACTCTGCCCTTCGGCATAGCCCTCGTCCGGGTTCCTCTCTACCCGAAAGCAGAGAGTTCGACCAGCACAGTTGGAAAGACACACGAATGTTACGATTCAGTTATGCAGAAGACATTACAGGGTGTAAGACAAGATGTCTTCTCATCGGATTTAGTCAACCTCTACAGCGAGGCTATCTTAAGGAAGCTGGAGACCGTACGAGGATTTATTATCAGTCTTAAAAACATAAAATACGTAGATGACAGCGTATTGATGGCAGACAAAAGAAAAGCTACTTCCTATACAAAGTTAGTTAAGGGAAGTGAGAAGAAAAGGCTATCAAAACAAGGCATGATCGTCAACAAGAGAAGACTGCGAATTGGATATGTCAACATCAAGCAAGTACAGAAGTTTAAATGTCTGGGGTGGGGGGGAGAGTCATAACAGAGGACGTTTAAAATGACACCGAAATCCGAACCCCATATTGGTGAATTTCAAAAGCAAATTACTAGCATAGAAGAAAATTTAATTAGAAACAAAGAATAGAGTGAGGGACTGTTATGTAATATCCACCTCCCTATCTGAGGGACAATGTCCGCACTTATGAAGAGAAAACTGTAGAAAATAAAAGACATGTGGTTCTACAGAAGGATGCTGAGAATGCTTAGAAGAATGCTGAGGAGCGTAAGCAACGAAGTGCCTTAACGAAAATGGTAACAAAAAGAAGATATACTCAGAATCAGGAAGAGACAAAAGTTTTTTTTACTATTGAGAAAAGAGGGCTTAGAGAATTTGACACTCACAGGACATATGAAAATGAGGGCAGCGGGCCACTTACCTAACGTGTTGTGCGAATGGATGCCGGAACGGGAGATGCGAGTGATGGTGAAATCACAAACGTTTCTAAGAGCTACTGGGGTTAAGAAATTGGGGAGAGCCATGATCACGTCTTGAAGAGACACGACACATAGAACAAGAATATTTTTTATTTGTTTGTTTATTTAACTCTCAACTTCTACAGTCGTCGGTGGCGGCGGCGGTGGGGGGGTTGTGGCTGAGGGCAGAAGATATAAACTTTGTTTCTTCTTTCAATAAGCTTTCGGATAACCTGGCGGCGCCCATCTCCTCTCCAAGCTCTAAGACCGACAACCGAAAAATATAGCGTGGACTGCTTTCGATCCGTACTCTAGACATTCATGTTTTGAATGTAGAGTTTTCCTTCTCCTAGACAGGTTGCCATCCAGTCTGTCTTGCTATCTACCCATAGAAGAGATAGATTCTTACCTTTCCCAAGGGTAATAGTACTAAGTGAATGTAATGGGCTCGACTGGAATTTGAACTCGGAACTCCGATTCCTCATTCCGAGCCGTTACTCCACCGTGCCTTACATTTATCAACGACAAATGGCCGACGTTGAGAAAAGGCTTATTTGCACATTCTCCTTATTATAATGAGAGCTGTCCTTATAAATTCAAACAGACATCGATGACAATTCAATGCTTGTTAACGTTTACGGCCAACGCCCATTTTGATCCGATGTCGCTATCTCATGTAATCATTTTGTGCAAACGACTGTATAACAAGTACTAAAGTCGGTGAGTCACGAAAAAGCTGTGTTCGTATCGTTTGTTTCGACTCCTCAATACAAGTTGTTCTTGTGTAGCTTACCTTTAAGTTGGGTGGGTTTAATGCTAATGTACTTTATTCGAGTTACTAACATGAAACTTTTCACTGTCGCAGGCACCATTCGTTCTAATGGTTACTAATCATAATCCCAAATCTTAAAATCCAATATATCGAAATTCTGAAATTTAAAATCACGAAATATGAAATCCCGAATTTATAAAATCCTGAATGAGCAGAATCCCGAAATTTAAAATTTTGAAAGATCAGAATCCCGAAAAATAGTCCTTGGGAGAAATTTTTTAAAAAGTTCTAATGGTTGCTAATCATAATTCCAAATGTTAAAATCCAATATATCGAAATTCTGAAATTTAAAATCACGAAATATGAATTCCCGAAATTTATAAAATCCGGAATAATCAGAATCCCAAAATTTAAAAGCCTGAAACATCAGAATCCCGAAAAATAGTCCTTGGGGAAAAAAAAGTTTCTAAACATTTACAAAATAGCGTTTAGTGTTTATGCATTTGAAACATTCAAAATTCATTAGAAAAATATAAAACCAGAATATGACATCCGCGATGGAAAAATTTAGTAAACAATGCTCATGACGGTGTTTATCGCATTATTAGAGAGTTGCAAAAAGTGCAGCTGCACGGGAAAACGAATATGCACGCATTCTCTGAGGAGAGTCTTGTCCAAATATATATATATATATATATATATATATATATATATATATATATATATATATATATATATATATATACGTGTTTTATCGTGATGAAAGGCTTAAAAATATAGTTAACGATCGTGAAAACCGACCAGATCTTATGGTCTATTTTAAGGGTCTTGCTCATAATGTTTCATTATAAATTGTTCATATATTCTTGTTTTATATTTTCGGGTTTCTGATCTTTCCGGATTTTGATACATTCGGGATTTCAAATTTCGGGATTCTAGATTTCAGGATTTCGACATTCGGGATTTTAGGATTCGTGATTATATGCCAAACTCGTTCTAATACCCACATTTTCGGACCTTCCTCGTATTGTCGCATATTCTGAAATGCAGCAACATTATTATTATTATTATTACATGAATTATTCGGGTTAGTATCCTCAATTTTTTTCCTATTGCCACACTTGGGATCACATTTGCTCTGATTTGTTCAGTGGATGCCGTGTGGTATACCACTGTTGCCCTTAGAAGGTACCTGTATTACGTAGCCGTCCAGAACCTGGTCTACGGATAAAGGAATGGTCATTTGACCACTCTTACTAACATTGCATCACCACTGATGCAACAGCTCCAACTGAACAAAAGAAGACCATATGTGAAAAATCTTGCAGATTGAGCCGTATGTTCATTGTTTGTTGGGGGGGGGGTCATTATGTTGTTGGAACAACACACTACCTTTCTGTATCTCTCTATATAAAAGATGTTTTGTGCGTGTGTGTGTGTGTGTGTGTGTGTGTGTGTGTAACGAAAGCACGGCCAATTTTCGACGGATTTGCACCAAAATTTACATGCACATACTCCAAGTTAGTGAGAAGGCCAAGATTGACTTTGCATTTCCCAACTCCCACCGATAACAGAAATAATCGATTTTTTCATGCTTCTACGGCAGTTTTCATGTAGTTTGCGGCCATTTTGTACTGGCCAGAGTGAGAGTCAATAGCTGGCTGCCACGAATAGGCAGGAAGATTCTATTGGCCAGCGTGAGAGCCAACAGCTGACTGACACGAATGTTAACTAGCATGCAA